ACAAATTATTCAGAAAGACAGACTGAGGTTGCATGTTCCATAATCCTTGCTAAAAGTTTCATACAATTCATCTCTTTCAAATGTACCTCTGTTTTAAAAATAAGTATAAAATTTGATTCTTTTCTTTTTACTGGGCAGAACTTTATGGTAATAGAATAGTTGACATTTTGATGTTATAAACATGCTCACAATATTTTAACTTCTATTTAGGCACTGAAGAAGATGTAGTAAAGTCAAAGAAAACTTTCAGAAGTCAGGCTGTGGTAAATCAGAATGCAGAAACCGAGCTCATGTTGGAAGGTGATGATGATGCTGTCAGTCTACTCCAAGAGAAAGAGATTGACAACCTTGCAGGTAATTTTTTTTTCATTGACATGGCATTGACAAATAGATTATGTAAAAATCTAAACATTTAACCTTTCTAACCAATGTTCTACACTGACAGTTATTTAACAGACTTCTAATAGTGAGAACAAATTATTTATATTCTGGGCCCAGTAGATGTTCTAAGTTATAAGTCCTTCTACAATGGTCTCTCCTAGTGTGAGTTAAGGAAAACCCTGGACACTCTTCCTTACACAGTTTATTGAACTGCTAGAAGACCACGACAGTTGAAACGAGGAAAAATATTTCTAGAACTATTTTTTTAAGTCAGGAGATTGTTTAGTGTATTTCCATTTCCCCAATTTTTACAGACATTTCTCTCACTAAGTTAAAGGATATTGCTGAAGGCTCTCTGTTCCTGCACTCTTTTCTGTAGCCACCTCTCCGTTAAGCTAGAGAGACTATAAAGTGGTCTGGAAAAGGGGAGGCTGCAAGCAGGAATTGAAAAGGTTTAAAGCTTCAACTAAAGAATGAGCATTATTGGTCAGAGTACAAGTTAGGAGTGCTTACCAACACTTTCCATACAATTGGTGGAGTGTGGATAGGTCATAGATTTATTCCTGGTATTGAGTTCTTGCATGCTCTGCATTGAAGCACCATGTTACTTTTTGGAGAAAATACATGAAATAATGACACTTTGAGAGTTAATACACTCTCCAGTGCATTGTCTCTCAAAACGAAAATAAGAGAATTGTGCCTGAAATGAGTTGTGTGTATTAAAAAGATAAATTTTACTATGGAAGATGTGTATTGTGCCTGGGGAAATGAGAATTTTGTGATGTATTGAAGGAAAAACTTAAAACATCATTGGGTTTAAGATTTTCTCCTTAATCCAGTACTTTCCTCTGATGTTTCAGGCACAGGGCCAGATTAAGAAAGGGGCTTTAGGGACTGCAGCCCAGGGCCCAAGGAAGTTCCAGCAAAAAGAACTCCAGGCCACCAAATGTGCAGATCTTTTTGCAGGGCCCTGGGCTGCGGCAGCTAATGCCCTTGTGTTCCAGCCCTCCCTGGCTGGGTGGCAAGAGGGATGCCACTGTCATTCTTCTGACTGACCCCACTGGGCAGGAGCTTCAAACGATGGAATCTCTGTTTACGTGCTTCCATGACCAGCATGCTCCACCCCTGCAACTCACATTGGCCAATGCCAGCAGACAAGTGCAGGGCAGTGCACAGAACTATTTGCCCACTGCCCTTCTTTCCTTCCCTGGTGCCTGCGCCACCAAACGGGAGATGTCACAGTAACTGCCCCATATCTCAATCATGTTCCCCAGACCTGAGCCTGTCCTACACCCTAACTTCTGTCTTGCACCCCCACCCCAACTTCCTGCCCTGATCCCCCTTCCGTACCCTAAATCCTGCCCAGAACATGTACCCCCACCCCAGTCTCCTGACCTCAGCCCCCTCTTGCACTCTAACTCCCTCCTAGATCCTGTACTGCCACCACCTTCTGCCCTGAGCCCCTTCCCGAATGCTAACTCCTTTACAGAACCTGCACTCCTGCCTCCTTCCCGGAGATCCCTTCCACACTCCAAACTAAGGATGTTAAATATCAACAAATTGACTAATCAGATAGTCGATGCATTTTGCATCAACTATTCGATTAGTCAATAGGGTGATTCTGCCTTTGAAGTGTAGCAACAGCCCTAGCTGTTGCTACACTTCAAAGGCCAAAGTGCAGCGTAGAGCCCAGGTTCAGCTGGGAACTCCAGCTGATCCCCAGCTCCACAGGGCACTGCCACTTTGAAATGCCACATGCAGCCTGGGGACACCCCAGCTGACCTGGTTCTGCATGCGGCGTTTCAAAGCAGCAGTGACATGTGGAGCCCGAGGTCTGGCCCCAGGCTTCAAGCAGCACTGCCACTTTGAGGAAACCCCTCTTTGCACCACCACCCCCTTGCTGCCTCTTTCTGACAGAGGCAGTTTGTGGGGGGAGGGGAGAGCGACTAGTCCTTCATATCCCTACTCCAAACCCCATTGGCCTCAGCCTGGAGCCCCTTCCTATATCCCAGACACCTCATCTCCAGACCCAACCCAGAATCGACACTCCCAGTTGGCGCCCTCACCCCTCCCACATCCAATCCCCTGACTCAACCCACAGCCCCTTTCTGCACTCTGAACCCCTCATTTTTTGGCCCCATCTAGGGTCCCCAAACAGAAGAGTTAATAGCCCTGGGATCACAGAAGAGTTAATCTGACCCTGCACAGGCACTGGAAATTTGAAGTCAGAAATTAGATTGTTCATGAATGATAACAAAAAATGAAATTAGGATAGTGGTTTTAAATTAAATTATGAAAAAGCTCTCATGTTGGGATCAACTAATAAATAATATACTCAGCAGTCAGTATGGCAACTGAATATTTATGTTTAGAAATGTACATTTTTGTGCTCATCACTGAACACCGACCATGTTGTCTCATCTTGCTAAAATAGTAAGTTTAGACACCTTTGATAGTTTAATCTAAATTCCTTGGGTTGGTTTTTTTTAATAACAGAGAAAGGTTAGAGGCATCTCTTCCAGGCTCCACCCTGTTAACTTTGACATTCACCCCGAATAAATACTTATTTGCAATTGCTATGGTTTAAAGGCTAGAATATGCAACTATATGGAAATGTTTATTGAACCTGCATGGTGATCTGACAAAGCTGTTATGCATCTTAAAGTTCTCTGTAGTCCTCTGCAAACCTTAGACTCTTGTGCATACTTGACGTTGTCCTGCTAGTCAAAACACTGAGATGCAAAGCCTGCCCCTTCTTTAAGAGATTGACACTTCTGTGGCGGAGTCCTATGGTTTTGGAGATGCAGATGATAGACACACTTTAGCAAACCATGGGTTGGGACCCCAAAGTGAATCATGACCCCATTAAAATAGGATTGCTGAGGCTGGCTTAGACTTGCTGAGCCACCACTTGGGGCTGAAGCCAAAGCCTGGGTTCAAGTTACAGACCCCCTACCTGTGACTGAAACCCTTGGGTTTTGGCTTTTCCCCTCTTGCCCCCAGAGCAGCGGGGCTCAAGCAGGCACAGGCTTCAATCCCCAGTCCTGGAGTCATCTAGTAATTTTTGTTGTCAGGAGTCAACTGTGGGTTGAGGATATTATGGATATTAGTAAAAATTAACGTCTGAGATACTGCCAGGAAAGCTGCCTTCGGAATGTCAGCAATTTGTCCGAATGCTTGCAAGAAAAATCTGAATGTCATAAGCACAGGCCATCTTCTAAGTCAGTAGTCACCAACAAGTAGATCGGGATCTACTGGTCAATCTTGGAGCCTTTGACAGGTGATCCTGACAGGTTTGGTCAGGAGGCTGTCAAGTACCGGCACTTCGTCTGCCACACTCAGCGCTGCTCCTGCCTTCTGCCTTGGAGCTGCCTCCCATTCCTGAGAGCCTCTTGCTTGCTGCAGGGCATAGAAAGGAAAGGAGGGGATGCTGATGTCAGGGTGTCCCACCCTGTACCCCATTTCCGCAGAGCAGGGGCAGGAAAGGAGGGAGTTTGCTGGCTGCTTTTGAGAATGGTGCAGCGCCAGAGGAGGGGTGAGCCTGCCTTAGCCCCGTATACCACCACCCAGAAGCCACCTGTGGTAAGCGATACCTAGCCAGACCCCACATCCTGAACTCCAGCCCTAGTCCTGAACCCCTCCTGTACCCCAAGTCCCTGCTCTATCCTTGAGTCCCCATGTACCCAAACTCCCTCCCAGAACCTGTGCCCTGAATCTCCTCCTGCACCCAGGGCCGGACGGAGGCATGGGCAAGCCGGGCAGCTGCCCAGGGCGCCAACCCACAGGGGGCGCCTGATGGCAGCTGTAAGGGGCACGCAGCGTCCCTTACAGCTGCCATCAGGAGCCGCGCACCCAGCTCCTGCAGCGCCAGCCCTGTGGCACCAGACAGCAGTGCTTTTGCCCCCACGGCTGTGGGGCCCTGCACGGCGTGGCACGTGCACCAGCAGCGCTGGCTGGGCCGGGCTGGGCAGCGCATACACTGTGAGCCCCGGGGGCAGGCCCAGGGCTGTGCGCCAGCGGCCGTGACCGACCCGATTATGCGCCGAGCATCCTGGGACAGGCCCTGGGCTTCGCACCAGTGGCCGTGGCAAGCGCATGCATGCGCCGTGCACCCTGGGGGGCAGGCCCACGCCCCATGGGTGGGCCTGCGTATGCGCCCTGCGCCCAGGGGCAGTGCCGCACGCCCGGGCCCAGGGCGCCAAAAGGGCTCGGGCCGGCCCTGCCTGCACCTCAACTCCCCGCCCCAGGCTCAGCTCAGAGCCCCTCTCGCACTCCAAATCCTTTAGCCCAAGATCAGCGTCTGCATCGCCTTCCCCCACATCCCAGCCCTCTGCCCCCAGCCTAATGAATGTGAATGAGGATGGGGGAGAGAAGGAGGACAGAGTGAGCAGGGGTGGGGCCTCAGAAAAGGGGGTGGGAAGGAGGCAGGGCAAGGGTGTTTGGGTTTGAGGTCGATCCTGGATTGCACTTAAATTCAAAAATTGATCTCATGTTTAAAAAGGTTGGAGACCACTATTCTAAATGGATCCTGTCATCTTTGACCTGTTATATAATAACAGATAATGTCTTCTGCATCACCAAGGGACTTCATCAGTATTATTACCTCCTGGTTAGTCTTCTTTCTGCAGTTGTCACTCCTACTTGGACAAATGCCACTGTACCACATAATATAGGGGAAGCTTTCTGACCATATTAAAGTAGTGACAAGAAATGCAGCAGCAGTATACACATGTGCCCACACCAACAATAAAAAACCTCCCATCATTTCATTTTTAACCTCAAACTAACTCAAACCCTTGAAGCTAAGTTGAGAGTAGGGAGATGCAAGTAGAGAGAAAACAAATGCAAGAGTTAATTGTCCCAAAATATCCCTGATGCTGTGTCAGCTCCACTAATCTCTAGAATTATTTACTGCATGATTTTGCACTAGATAAGAAAACTGTTCTCCAGAGATCTTCCTGATCACAGGGGCA